TTTTTACTCATACAATGATTTTTTGGCTATTGCTACAAATATACCCCAGCGACTTAAGACTGGTTTTGTGCTCCAGGGTCACATATGAATAAACTTTTTCCAAAAATTGTTGAATATTTACTCACACTCAGGCTATCCAAGATGTAGATTATACATCTACATGTAGTTTATTTCCTCATCAGAATACATTTGGAGAAATTTAGCATTGAATAACTTGCTCACCAATGGTCTCTGCAGTGAATGGGTGCCGTCAGAATCAGTCCAAACAGCTGATAAAAACATCACAACAATCTATTGTGTTTTCAACTTTATAAACTGTTGTTTTCGGCTAAAATATGAGACCTTTATCTGCAAAATTGCTTTCTTTAATGAAAAGGTCATCTTGCGTGAATCAGGAGAGAAATAGATGCATAGATCAAGCAGAGTTTACAAGCAAAAACAGTTCAAGACAGTTCTAAACAAAAATGTCAGTGGATTTTGATTAAAGGATAAACTGGCATTTTGGACAGAAGTGACGGTTTAAAGTAATAGAAGATGTTATTGATGGACTGGAGTAGTGTGGATTATTTCTGAATTATTGTGATGTTTTTATCAGCTGTTTGGACTCTCATTCTGACGGCACCCATTCACTGCAGAGCATCCATTGGTGAGCAAGTGATGCAATGCAAAATTTCTCCAAATCTGTTCTGAACAAGAAACAAACTCCTCGACAACTTGAATTGCCTGAGGGTCTGACAGTAAATTTTCGGCAAATAATTCCTTTAAAGGTTCTTCACGGAACCACTGATGCCAATACCTTTATTTTTAGAGCGTATATCCCAATACAACATGATAAATCAACTGTGGCAACTTCTTTTCCCTTGATTAACTTCAAGTCTGGCTAAATAGCTCATTCCATACAAGTCAGCGTTCTCAATAATGCACTTGAACGTTTTCATACACGCCGCTTCAGCAATCACTTACAAATATCATTAGCACCTTCTGAAACACCTGCGATTTCAAATTCAGCTCGCTGGTTATTTTATAAGCCCTGTTAGTCAACTAGTACCACTGTTGCAGGATTCTTACAAGTCAGCGTTGCATAAAAAAGCATTATGATTAATCTATACACATTCTAAAGATGTTTCCTACAACAGTGCTCCATAGCAAGGACGTGAAATAAAGATAAAAAGTGACTGAATGTGGATATGTGAGAAAGAAACTAACTTTGAATTTTCACAGTGCTTATTTCTAGTTACGCTTTGGCCAATTTGGGGTGACTTTCGAATTTACTGCCCCTTCAAGGGAAGATAAGGAATGACATGCTATACAGCATAAGGTTTATGACACTTCTTTATGTCTTCAGCCTTTGGGGAAGGATAAGACAAATCTGATAAAATGATATTGAAAAGCCCTTTGCATCAATGTGAATTCAATTCAGATATTCTATACTTCATGATGAACGGGACATCATCATCATCATCATCAGTCGCAGAGTGAAACCTCTGTATCCAACAGCATGCAGCCAATATGGCTTAATCACAACATTGTCCCAACATGTTTGCCTTTGCATGACTTTAAATAATGTGGAAAGTTCTCATCGAACTGCAAGTCACCCTGGCAGATACGGAAGCTCTGATTTCAATCTATAATACTTAATAGTACCACTATAAACAATTCAGTAGAAAGTAGTTTTAGACCCTCAAAGAACTAAACTGTAATTGCATAGGACTCCAAACAAGCCAAACTCCTATTATGTGTTGTAAATTCCAACGTACAGCAATGCAAAAGTTCCTTTAGATAAGATTATTATTTTAGCTAGAAACATAAGCAATAAACTTGGAAGAATTATGACAGGTAGCACTTTGCAATTCCTGTTTTGGATTTAAAAAAAGATCAGTTGGTTCTGAACATAACTAGAATACTGATAAAGAAAACGTACTTAGCTAGAATTTGAATTCTTTTTCGCAAACAACAATTTAGTTAAATATCACTTCTATGAACTTATACACCACAACCTTTACACACTACCTTTCTACTACAAGTGCAAACTTTGACATGATAATGTATGAGGTATGCTTGAATAGTATTAGGACAGACTGATGGTGGCATTTTGACAAACTATCTTGAGAAGTACTTCCTGTCTCTGAGTTGTAGTACTCGAAACCCTGTAAAACATTCATGTGAAAAATTACTTGTAGCTAATTTGGGTGTCTGAATGTAATACACTTTCGATTTAAATGCAACAAATCTATAAATATAGCATTTTTTGTTCTTTTGTTTTCAGTCTTATGTTTGGTGGAGTGCAATCTATTTACATTTTAATGACGGTAGCAGCAACATCAGCACAATTTGATTTAAAATGTTAAAACATACAGTTAGTTATTTTCCTTTTTTAAGACTCACAGTTACACAAGACGATATTTTACTAGTCTATTCAGTAATCTAATATATTCCTTTTTTCATCGTTGCAATTTAGCAAAAAAAAAATAGAATAGTTCTTTAATGTATTTTTTTTATATCTTCTATTTCTACCACACATGAACTAAATAATATGCTCTTGCTCGTGAATTGAACAGTCGGCATCAGTCGCTCACAGATGCTGCTTAAATGTAGCAAATTAGTGTCGTCTTTACAAATGTAAAAATAAATGAAAATTTCCAACATTCATGACAAACATTAGATATGATTTTAAAATACTATGCAGTTAAAATATGCTTTTGTTCACAAATTTGATTTGGTGAAAAAGGATGATAAAACTGCATCTGCTTTATAAAGTAACTGGTAATATCAGACGCGTGATATGTTTTAATGTCGTGACCCAGCACTATCCGTTTCTTGTATATGAAAATGCGAAAATTTGTTTGCTTTTTTTTATTATCATATGGCACGGTTTATATTTAGTGATTTGGCAAGAGATGTAAATACCATGTTTACAATCAATCAGAAATTGCTGGATGAATAAATAATTTTCTTTGTAAATAAATATTTGAAATATAAATACAAATTCTTTTCTATTTACATTCCCTTAATATATATGTGATTCTACTATTAAACGAGATTATTCAGGATTATATTTTCATGGAATATTTGAGCTGTATATGGGTTTTCCATTATACAGCAGTTCTGTTTAAACTCTCTTCACAGTATGTACACGTGTGTGACTGAGCAATATAATGCATGATGCATAATCTGCTGATGCTATTTTAAGTGTACACATATTTGTGAAAGGAACACAGCCTTCAAACCCTCTTCTAATATTATAAAACCCCTTTGAATCTACTCTTGTACAAACACACACACGGTCCAGCCCTCTCATATTGTACAGTATATATGATTCTTAAAAGGCTGATGTAGTCAGAGGACATGCAGATGGTCAAGGGCATAGCTGATAGTCATTGATCCAGAAGTGCTTACACCTGGCTCACATTAAACCCTGGTCAGTTCTGTCCTTGGTGTAAAAACACACCTTGGACATTTACGCGGTACACTGGAAGACTTGTTTTCAACAAAGAAAGATTCCACCTATGACAAGTAATGAAACAATGGAGAGACAGTATAGGAACAAAATATAAAGCATAAAGGGAAAGTCACACTAGATTTGGAGTTTCATTCACTTCCATACTTTCATACACATGCAAACAAACACAGAAGAAGAATAATCTGGTCGACTTTGAGCTGCCTATTCGAATATCTATAAAATGTTTGACCAATAGAGGATTTAAATAGCATATTGATATTGAGGAAACTCTCAGTTTTAGGGATTTTTCATAATCTCATTCTAAATACACTACCATTCAACGGTTTGGGGTTGGAGAGATTTTTTTTTTTTTTTTTAAAGAAATTAACTATTTTATTTTGACTTAAAAAAAACATATATTTCAAATAAATGCTGTTCTTTTGAACTTTCTATTCATCAAAGTATTCTGAAAAACATTATCATGGTTTCCACAAAAATGTTAAGCTGCACAACTCTTTTTAACATTGATAAAAATGATAGGAAATGTTTTTTAAGCAGCAAATCGGCATATGAGAATGATTTCTGAAGGCTAATGTGACACTGAAGACTGGAGTAATGATGCTGAAAATTGAGCTTTGCATCAGGAATAAATTACATTTTAAAATATATTCAAATAGAAAAGTTATTTTAAATAGTACTTATACTAGTTTTTTCTCCATCAAATAAATGCAGCATTGGTAAGCAAAATAAACTTTCAAAAACATTTTAAAATCTTACTAACCCCCAACTTTTGAAAGACAGCATAATACAAGTTTAGCTAAAAACAAACTTTTAAAGAAAGCTGGATGAATCAGAACAAATGCCACATTTTGACATTTAAAATGGACTGTTTTGAAGTGCCCACCAAAAATACAGTGGTTTTGCATGTTTAAAATCCAGTGTGACTGTCCCTTAAAAGTATTGATATGATATATAATATTAAATAAAGAGAAGTTGGATCAGAGTATTTGGTCAGGTGCCACTGGAGAACATGGGCTTTTGGAAATTAGTCAGAAAAGACCAACTCAATCATTTACTGATCTGTGTGTGACATAAGCTGTTGAGTTTATGAGGTGAGAACTGAGCCAATAAGAGAAAGATTGAGAGATGGATAGAGGGATAGAACTTAATCATGTGGAAGAAGTGACATCTACTAAGCTGGTGTCTTTTTAGACTATGTAGTGCAAAGTCATCTGATATGTGCTGGGGCGTTATTGCTCATGGTGTAGGTTGGGGTCACTGGGACGTTCCGTCTATGCAGTGAGGGACGAGGGGTGAGGAATATTTGGTGGTTGAGCTGAGCCCCTCAAGAGTAGATAGTGATGACCTCACGTCCACCTCCACGCACGAGGAGGACCCTGTTGAGACCCTCAGTCAAGACCTCGAGGAACTCCATGTCTGTGTGAATGAAGTTAAGAAGCGAACTTTCACATTTACATGAGAGCACAAAGTAACTTCACTGTAAAAAAAAGTCTGAAGTCACAGATATTTAGATGAAAAAAGGATACAGTTCTCTTCTCCAGTGCGGTTCTTAGGAGGTCCAGGCATGTTTAGCAGGACTAGTTTAGCTTCCTGGGACTTCTTCACAATGACCTCGTTGAGTTTCTGTGCGTGGTGCATGCGTCTGACATTGGAGTGGTTCCTGTATGAAACACCACATTGCAAAGACTTTTTTGTGAGTGTGATGGTTTCTTTATATGACTACATATTTAGCAGATGTGAAGCGCACATTTATATGTGATAATTAAGTGCGCCATCTTTTAAAATAATCAGAAGGTATCGAATGAAGTAGCATTAGTGTTATCATTAAAGTGTACTCACAGGTTCTCCCATTCCCTGAGGCATAAGCGAAGGAAAATAACAACACAGTGAACAGAGAACAACACAAATACAGTAGCACACTACAAATTTGACTTTAACCATAAGTTCAAATTTTAGGGATGCACCAAAAGTATGGACAGCAATATTTCTCAGATGATTACTGATCAAGTTAAAACTATCAGTAGGTTGGATGGTTTTTAGACACATTAGACAAATATCTTTAGCTTTTGTGTCATGTCTCACTGATTTTTGTTTTGTTTTTTTGTGTCAGGTGTCAAAAAACGATTCTCGCTGTTTTTTTTCCTTAAGTGAGCTAAGCAACTGAAACGAATGCAAGTGCTACAATAAATCTAATGATGACAAAAGTGTTTCTTTTTCAGAGCAGAGTTTAACTTACATTACTGATGTTTGCTGCAAATATGCAAGAAAAAAACATTGTAATTTGTTTTTACATAATGTATGTTTTTATATATTTTTATTTTAATAAAATAAATATTAAATAATAATAAAAATATATTTATATTATAAATATATCATTTAAATAAATTTATAATATAAATATATCATTTAAATAAATTATTAAATTAATAATTATTTAAATTACTTTCATTATGTCTTTCATTGTAGGCTTGGTATACATCCAACTAACTGATCGATGTACATTGATCAGTGAACAATGCTCAGTGGAAATAAATAAATGTGACATTGAAAATAGCTCTTGCACATCTCTGTGGGGCTGTAATTAAAGTTTTGTTAAATTAAAGTGTCAATACAATGATCTGGTGTTCCATAGTCAAATGTATAACAAGCAAAATATCTTATCCTGTTGTTTTGTTGTTAAAACCAGTGTCGATGCATCTTTATGCAAAGGTTTGACTAACACCTCACCCTCAACGAACATAATAATACATTGATTGAAATCTCATTTCTGATTCGTTAAAAGTTTTCGTATTCACCTGATACAATACATACTCAGTACAGACCGTCATTATTTTGACTCACGGTTTCATGTTGAACATATCCTTTATGCTTTCAGGGTTGGCCACTGCTGGGTTATTGGGCTTCTCCGTATCGTCCGTCCAGGTCATCTGCACCTCCTCTCCGGGGCTCATGGCCGCTGGTGTGGGAGCGGTAGGGGAGGTGGGGCTAGTTGGGGTGGGGGTGGCATTTTTTCCCTGAATGAGCTGAACCTGTCGAGGACGGGAGAGACGGACAGACTAAGAGAAGGTAAAAAAGAGTGAGAGGGTAGAGAGGGATAAAAAAAATTAAGAAGTGAGAATTGTTGCTTTTCTGGTAACCTTCTTTTCTCAGAAGGATAAAGAAAAAATAGAGAGGGGGAGAGAGACGCACTGCCAGGGTGTTAACAAGAAGAGAATGATTTTCTAGTAGATAATGACTGAGAGAAGAGAGAAAAGGGCGAAAATAGCAAGTGATAAAGAGATGCTATCTTCATGGCTGACAGGTCCGTGCTATTATCTAATCGGCCAGAAGGAAGAAGGGCGTGATTAGCTCAAATGGAAAACAAGCACAAAGTCACACACTTGATGGATAATAGCACAGAGAACGAAGTGAGAGACAGCAGCTACCTCCTCCTCAGATTTCTCTTCACCACTTCCTCCCACAGACTCCTCGGCGATACTCCTCTGGGGGTGCAGGTTTGAAGGGTTCTTTCGCCGTATAGAGCCACGGGACACGTCTGTGATGCTCTGAATCTGAAGAGACAACATCAGCGCTGTTAGACTGATTCAAACGATCAGATTTATACTGTTAATCGCTTTATGTAACAGTTAGTTACGGTTCTCTAGCTTGATTGGCCAAGCAGCTTTTCTTCCTTATCTACATATACATTTTATAATGTTTCCTTTTGTGTTCCACTAAGAAAAGAAAGTCGCAGGTTTGGATCAACATGATGACAGAAGTTTTATTTTTGGGTGAACTTGTGACTTTAACAACTTTCATTTACTCTTGTAAAAATCAATGTATCTTTCACAGCTTATTGCCTCAAATAAATGCTGTTTAGTAGAATAAACCTTGTTTAAAAGAAGCGAGCTTAATTGTATTGAATGTGCACTTGAAGTAGAAGAAAAAGTAGTATATAAGTATACTGTATAATTACACTTACAGAAAATATAGTAATGAAATAAAAAGCCACTTAAGTGTACTTAAAGACAGTACATTTTCATGACTGGTTATTAACACACTTAAGTAGACTTTTAAGTGCACTTGATATAATGTCAGATCTAATAATGTAATAATCAAATGTCAAATGTAATAATGTCAAATTACTTTAAAATAGATTTTGAATCGTTGTTTTATTATTCTTTTGTCATGCTTTAAAGAAGAACACTTAATATATTGACTATATACTAAAGCACATGTAAATTGCTTGATTATATATATATATATAGTTATTATATTTTAAATGTACTAAATTGCAACTTCATTACAAATATATTGAAATGCATGACGTACATTTTAAAGTAGAAATGACATTAAAGCATATTTTAGTTACCATAAATGCTTGTCAGTACATTTAGCAGTACACCATATTCAAAGACAATTTTGAAGTAATTATGAAATGACAAAAAAAGATGTAATTAGGTGCTACTTAAGCAGGTCAAAAAAGCACTCAAACATTCAGCTGATTGCATTTAATATGCATTTCAAATATAATAAATTTTCATTTAACTGTAAAGAACATCCAAAAACATTACATTACATTCAGTTCACACTTAAAGGAATAGTTCACCCAAAAATGAGAATTCTGTCATCATTTACTCTCCCTCAAGTTGTGGAACATGTGAAGTTGAATAATGTGGGTAACCATTTTTATTCTCCTCGGACCTCCATAGCATTTTTTTTAAGTATGCTAAATTGTCCCCCCACAATACCTCTCTCTCACGCTCGTTCTTGGTCAGGTGCATCTCCTTGAGGATCTGCGACCGCTGCTCCATCACCAGGGTCTTTTCGTAGGTGTAGGCCGAGATGTCGCTTTCATGCTTGAAGTAAATGAAAGAACAGGTTAGAACGTACTGTTGTCAGTATCTGTGCATGCATGTGTGTGTGTGTGAAGGCAGTGTGTATTGGTTTCTCACCATTTCAACCACCTCCACCTCAGCATCAAATCGCAGATGATAGAGGAATGTCATCAGGTCTTTCTTCATCTGAATGCTGTTGTCGTCCATCTGAGCCACAGTGAAGATACGCATCTTGCACTTCCTCCACACCTACAATTGAAGCAATATGATTATCCAGTGTAGTAATCATCTCATTCAAAGACATGAACTGAATGTGATCTCAGTATTGATAGCTAGTGAGTGCCCTCACTAGGCAGCAACTAATATAAGGCATTCGAACTGAGATGAAATGTTAATTGAACACACAATAGGCATCAATTGCATTAATCCTTTAATACAGCACATAAGAAACTCATACTGTAAAGTTTAGACCAGAGCTGTATGATTCTTGTACGCAAGTAAAGTACTATTATCTACCATCAATAATAAAACATTTGCTGCAACATTGACCTGATCACTCCATCAACAGTACCTTATGGTGGCGCAGAAGGAAGGGAAGGAGCATGAGCATGCCTCCATCATGGACAATCCACCACACGTCGATGTGGCCTTCAGTGAAGCGCTCTCCATTTGATGGATATGCAGAGATGTTCTTCGGCACCAGTAAGGCCAAGTGAGCTGCAGTGGTCTCCCTAACAACCTCTGTGGGGGAATAACAGTAAACTCAATACACCCAATAAACTCATGCACAGGGCTACATATATACTATGTATGGCTGTTTTGATTTCTTTAAACAATTATCTTGTCTGTTTTAATTGTCTTCAAAATTTAAACCATTAAGCTCTTATGTGGATGAAAAACTGCAGGGAGCCCTTAAAGCTTCTCTTTTGTTGATACATGCTTCTCATTACAAGTTTTTGAAGATGGTTGTTGCAAGTTTCCCTCCCAAATGCATGTCAAAGCAGCCAAAAATTAGAGCGGACGCAAAGATGGACAGTTTGCATCTGGCGGATCATAAGCTGCTCATGTGTAAAAGCACAGTACACTGAAAAAATTTAACATCTAAATTTACTGGTTTAATAAAAAAAATGGATCACTAAATCAACCAAAATACATTCATTTATATCAACAAAATTAATGCTATTTTGATTAATTGTTCAGCCCTAGTCATAGACATGTATGTAGTTAATATTCATCTATGTAGATATCTATCTTTATCATTGCTCATAACAGACAGTTTACAATCTTTTGTGTGAGCATAGCTTTACTGCTTGATAACATAGGATTATCAAGCAGTAAAGCTATACGCTGCAACAAAAGTCATGAAAACATGGGTAAAAAGTTCATTGACTAGATATCAGAGGCTGTGCTCTCTTTGCCACACTGTCCAAGCTAATCCAAGTCCATGTCTCGTCTTTTGTCTTACCAATGAAGTTCCTGCAACGGTGGTGCTCCTCAGCCTGTTTCCAGTTCCTAGGGAAGCTGACCAGAACCGTGTTGTGATGGAGGCCGCCTAGACCTCCAGCCTGGATCAGGTGTGAGGTGGCGTCCCGCAGGTTAGAAGAGATCACAACCTGACTGAATCCCTTCACCTTCTCGACCTCCATCAGCTTCCTTAGGGACTGAGAGAGATGGAGCTTATTAGTGTCTCATTTCTTCAGGAGTTCAGCTTTGATCCTGTGTGTGTGTGCGTACTTGGTCTCCTTTCTGCGCCTGTGGTTGGTTGTTTAAGTAGGTGCCCTCCACACACGCTCCCACGATGGTCAAGCCTTTGCCCGCTTTCAGCTGACTGGTCAGCGACAGCAGTCGAGGCTGCTCTACATTCTGCTCCGCATCCAGACTCATGAGCACCAGAATCTGGGGCCTGGAAGATTGATAACATTTAAAAAAATGCTAAATACATTCTCAATGTTTTGGATGAATGTAATTTTACATGTGACAACCATACACTGCTTGTTTGTTGTGTGAAGAGGCATATTACTGATCAATCACTGACCTCCAGTTTTTAGTGTGAGGAGGACCTTCCTCCAGCCTCATCAGAGCATAGCGGGCGGCACTCAGAGAAATGCCACGAATCCCATCGCCCCACTCTTTCTCTGCCCTACAGAGAGGAAATACACATTTGGTAATTCAACTTTCTGTGGATCAGGTGTTCAAACTATGCCCAAGTTATAACTTTTAGATGTTACCAATGTTTAACACAATAATTTGATGATATTACCGTTTTATTCAGCTTTTTGAAGTCTGAAATCAGGATATTACCGAACAATTATTTTACATCACTGTTTTTAACAAGAAATAAAAAAAAGAAAGGTTTATACATTTTACATTAATAGATACTGAAATATGCTGTCAAGTTAATCAAACTGAACTACTGTTTAAACGTTTGGGGTCAAAACTATTTTTTTAATTAATAATTTTATTCAGCAAAGATGCTTTGAATTATTATTAAAAGTGACGGTAAAGTTATTTATAATGTGACAAAAGATTTCTATTCATCAAAGGATCCTAAAAAATGCATTATGGTTTTCACAAAACTATTAAGCAGCACCTATGATGATAATAACTTATTAGAATGATTTCACTGTGACACTGAAGACTGGAGACATGATGCTGAAAATTTTGTTTTGATATCACAGGAATAAATAAAATGTTAAAATATATTAAAATAGAGAACACTTATTTTAAATTGTAATAATATTTCACGTTATTAGTGTTTTACTGTATTTTTGATTAATTAAATACAGCCCTGGTGAGCATAAAAGAAAAAAATAAATCATACTGACCCTAAACATTTGATATTTTAAAAATGTACTACACTTCTATGATTATATTTCAGGAAGAGGGACCCTCAAGGTTTCATCACTTTTCACAGGCCAAGAGTGAGATTGATCTAGTTAGTGTGAAACTCATTAGGTTTTTTCCTTTTTTCTCCTGTCGTCTCCTCCTGAGGCTCATTTAGGTTTGCTTACCCGCAGAATTCGATGTATTTGTAGATGCAGCTGGCGATTACCATGGCAACAATGGCGTAGTACCAGGAGCAGAGGAACATCAGGGTAAGACACAAGCTCATGCCCAAGAGTGAGAGAGCCCTGGAGAGACATCACAGGCCATCTCATGCTCATTTGTCCAGCTGTGGTTTTAGTGTCAGCTGTGTTTACAGTAATAATGAGAACCCCCACAGATGATCTTAGCGGTGGATGAAGGACTTATTTATGTGGTGTGATACATCTGTTTGCCTTCATTTAAGACTTTCAACTTTCATCCCCTCAAACTAATAATTTTGTAAACAAACACACTTTCTGTTCTGTCAGGGACACAAAGCTAAGGGAGCAGGGGTTTGTGTGTGTTCGTACCAGTGGTAGAATTTAAAGCGCGGCCTCCAGTTCGGGGTCCTGAGGAGCGTCTGCAGCGCACAGGCCAGATTTACAAACATGTAGCACATCAGGAAGAACCTGTGGGGAAAACAGATAAAAACTCATCTGTATATGTAATAAAGAGATATACTGCCCCCTTGGAAGTTTTCATGTTTTGTTTTGCAGTAATGAGCCACTATTTATGCAGTAATGAGCCACTATTTACTATTTATATATACAGTAGGGTGACCATACGTGCCATTTTCCCAGGACGCGTCCTGGCCAGGATTTCTATATTGCCTAAAATATCTAGGTTTTGGCTTTGTTTGCGTGTGCAGACCGATCGGTGTATGACATCAAAATACCATACAGACGGTTCCTTATGCTTTCAAAATGCTCTCAAGGTATTTTGATGTCATACACCGATCGGTCTGCACACGCAAACAAAGCCAAAACCTAGATATTTTAGGCAATATAGAAATCCTGGCCAGGACGCATCCTGGGAAAATGGCACATATGGTCACCCTAATATGCAGTATGTATGTATGTACTTACTTATATTTATATAATATTCTATGTCAAACCAAAAACACACATGGACAATTTTTATTATAGTTACTAAACACAGATTAGTTTGCATTTAGACAGTAGAATTAAATGACAGTACAATTTTATTTTTGTTTCCCATTTATTAAAAAATAATATATTTTAAAATAATTTATAATAGTTTTTAAATCATATTTTAAAATAATAATACAATTAAAGAAAGCATACTTAAGGATAGGCTGGAAGATACTTGGATGAATGAAAGGCCATCAGTGGATTATGATGCTTTTTGCAGCCAAATCGAGTAGTTATGGCATCTATCAGCGGGGACTAACTGGCTCATGCCAGATGTTGACCCCTTAATTGAAACCTCTTGACTTCACACAAGTGATCTCCATTTAACTACCTAGGCTTTAAAAACCAATGGGATGCATTAGTGATCGTTTATGCATGTCATATTAAAGGTGTTGAACATTTATGCATTCAATTATTCTGGATTTTATGTTCATAATTATATTAGACCGCTTTGTCCAGATCTGTTTGAAATCAAAGACCAGTGAGAAGCAAAAAAAGACAAATGAAGCCCACTGTGTTTTAAAGTGGGGAGAAAAAACCCCAAAGCATGACAAAGTCCATACTTTTATCAGCTGTACATTTGTAATGCATATCTGCAAAGGTTATAAGGGGGGATGTAGTGTTAGCAAATACAAAGTGCTGAATTAATGGTATTTTATTGTGTTATATACCTGTAAATAAGTTTAGGAATTATTGAAGAACAGGCTTTTAGAAAAGAGGCTATTCAGCACAGTTAAGATGTTTTATTACAGCAATAGAGACAGTTTATTGCTGTTGTTTCTCTGGGAGTCATAAAGAATGAGGTGCGCTGTGTATTTTTTGGGGAGTGTTAATTACATGGACAGAATGGGAGCGACTGCATCCAGGGAGGCGATGAGGATGCCAATCTCACAGATGCAGGCCGTCAGGAGGAGAGCCCATGTAGGTTCACCGTTAGCTTTGCCATGACCAAACACCTGTCAAATACAGAATATGATCAGGTTAGCATGATCACTTAGTATGATCAAGTATCGAAGCATCAACAGATATAGAGACGTACCCTGAGGAAAGGAATGATGCCGTCTCGGGCGATAGCCTGAAGGAGACGGGGCGCTCCCGTCAAACTCTGAAGCCCTGCCCCACAGGTGGAGAAGAAAGAGCCGAACACAATGACCCAGGGCGAGGGCCATGCCAGGGTGCCAATAACCAAGTTACCGTTGACACCTTCCCCAAATCTGTGTGTTTAAAACAGTGTTGTTACTGTTTATATTGCAATTCTATCAAAATTTTTTTTTCTTAATTCAAAGCTGAATAACATAAAATTATATATATATATATACACATTTAAATTTAAAAGACAATTAGAAATATGACAAAAATTTAAATTTAAATACTAAAATGACTAAAACTAAAACTGAAATAAAAATAAATAGAAAATAAGGCTAAATATAAATATTTGAACAATAAACTAAAATCTTTATGTTTAGAAGAATGCTATTATTGTTAACTAATAGTATTAAAAAAATATTTTTGTTAACTGAAAAAGCTGAAATAGAATAAAAATATAAATATTAGATGAAAACTTAAAATAAAATGGAAATATTCCCTTGTCAATATGCTTAAATATAATAAAGTTTGTTTAAGTTCAAATATTAACAATGCTAAAACTAAAATTGAAGTAAAAATAAATAATGCTAAATATAAATATTTTAATAATAAAAATTACAAAAGCATATAACTAAATCACTGAACTTAAAATAAAATTAAAATGAAAACTGAGATCTTTGTTCCTAGAACTATGTATTGTTAACTAATAGTATTAAAAGCATTTTGTTAAATTGAAATAAAGGCTGAAATAAAATAAAAAGATCAGATAAAACCTTAAAAGAAAATTAGAAATGTTGTCTTGGCAATTAGCTGAAATAAAATAAAGTTTAAGTTTAAATATTAAAATGAAAATAAAACTGCAAAAAAAAAATTTAAGCTAACTAGAAATATTTAAACAAAAACTTGTAAATGACAAAAGCATATAACAAAACAAAAAATAAAATTAATTAAAATGAAAGTGAAAAGTAAAAATATAAAAATAAAAGGTAATTCAAAATATTAATAAATGCTATATTAGTATGTAAATACACACTCCATATTTTACGGGGACATTCCATAGGTGTTATGTTTTTTATACTGTAGAAACTGTATTTTCTATCACCCTACACCAACCCTAAAACTAAACCTACCCTTCACAGGAACTTTTGTTAAAGTGCCCAGACTGCCCACTTAATTTTCAGTTCATTTGGAGTCTATACTGAATCTAAAATAGAGCTACAGACTCACTTGTCCCTCAAAACGACTCCGTCCACACAGGCTCCAAACAGAATCACACTAGACATGTCTGCGAGAGCAAAACATTTAGGAGAACCACACAAAGCAGCAAAAAGGCATTCACCTTATTTCAGCTATTTCCCCACAGATGGAAACATCAAGTCTTATGATTTTATCACTGTCGTTTCCTGGATATCCAATTACACTGTATTCTGTACATTCCAAGATGTGCAGTTCTGCATTGTGTGAAAGTCACGGGTCATTTATTTATGCAAAGCTGGAGGAGTTCATTGCCTTCGGAGTAAAGGATACAGATGATAGAGGTAGTTATGATGGCCATGATGGTACCAATTGGGATGGACTTCTGAGCGTCCTGCAGGTCACCAGAACGGTTCGAACCAGCCATGATACCTGTGACACACAAATACCGTATATATTATATCTAGAAACACTGGTGTTTGTGGGTCAGCTTCTGCCTGGATTGAAGGGATATTATGAGAACAAATATTATGAGAACAAAAAATGACCTTTTACTGTTTTTACTGAACAGAAAAAAGACAAAAGCATAAGTAAGATTCAAATTAATGTTACCTTACATTTAAAAAAAGGCCATAATAAACATTATACAGACCAAAAGTAGACATTTATGTGATTAATTCCCCTACTAATGATCAAACTGTTGTACTGACCTGTGACCGAGGGGAAGTAGATGCCAACCAGCAGGGTGAAGAAGCTGGTGATATCAGCCAGGACGTATCGGTTAGTGTTGGTTTCTGGGGCCTCAGGGTCGAGTACTGCTGGTATACCTCGCTTCTCTAACATTGAATTTTTCTCCATAAAGGTACTGAAGAGGTTTTCTGTAAAGAACAAACAAACAAAAAAAGAGACTACATTTTTCCATGCAATTTTAAAACAGAATTCCATAAAATACACGAGTACATTCATTTTGAACATTACATTTAAATAATCATATTACTTTCACCAAGATTTAGTCATTTTATTTTAAATGTAATTTATTCCTGTGATGCAAAGCTGATTTTTCAGCATCATTACTCAGTCTTCAGTGTCACATGATCCTTCTTCAGAAATCATTCCAAAATGCTGATTTGCTGCTCAAGAAACATTTCTTATTATCATCAGTGTTGAGCTGCTTCATATTTTTGAGGAAATATTTATTTTAGGATTTCTTATTGAACAGAAATTTCAAAAGAACAGTATTTATTTGAAAAAGTAAGCTATTAAAGTATTATTGAAACCGTAAAATATGGTAATGAATATTAAAATATCAATGTGAGTGTTGGGGTTTTCTAACCTGCCAGGATGCCACTGGTGATTCCAGGGATTCCCTGGATCTGACTGATGTTGTTGTTGGTGAAGTATTCATCGCAGGTGGCGTTCAGGAACTCTGAATCACAGAAGGCTCTCCAGAGCTTGGTGGTGACTGTGGCATTGCCTCTCTCAATGGTTTTGGCACAAATGTCAAATCCCTTTGACACAAGAGTTCGGTTCCCAAGCACACACACCCTACGCAGGATAAGGTCTGTATGATTATAGTCACTCCTGAAATGTATTCTGTACCCTAAAGAAACATTCCGGACACAAAATTCTACTTACGGAAAGTCAGGTGGGTCAAAAGAAGTCTTGATGACGCCAGCGTAGACAGCGAGAATGGATAGAATGACGCAGGCGAGGAACACAAGGGCCAACTTGTTGACATACTTCACGCCGACAAAGACGACTAAAGCCATGAAGGAGAGCACGATGGTACCGTACACACGCATGTTATTCAACAGTGCTGCCTCAGCCTCTGCTCCCTCCAGACCCTCCATCTTGAATATGGCAGCTGCTGGCACGATGTAGATCTAGGAAAAAAAAAACAAGAGAAAGGAATAAAATAAAATAGTGAAGAAGATCCCAATGGTTAAAGGGGTAGTTCACCCGAAAATGAAAACTTTGTTATCATTTACAAGCCCTTAATTTGTTCTAAACCTGGCTGAATTTCTTTATTCTGCTGAACACAAAAGGAGATATTTTGAAGAATGTTGCTAACTAAATAGTTTTTGGTTCCCAAAGATACTATGAAAGTCAATGGCTACCAGCAATTGTTTGGCTACCAACATCCTTCAAAATATCTTCTTTTGTGTTCAACAGAATAAAGAAACTAGGGTTTGGAATGACAATGGCGTTAAAGGTGAGTTAAAGAAGATGGGATTTTCATTTTGGGTGAACTATCCCTTTAAAGTTGTGCAAAATTAATGTACAAGTACTGTACAGACATCAAAATTGTAAATAATGCTTATTCAGAGTATGCATTAAAAGTTAATTGTTATTTAAAATAAAAGTATCTTGCAAACACACATTATTTTGTTGTAAAAATTTAAGAAAAAACATGTGAAATATGGTTATCATAGTTAACTGAAATGCAAAAAAATTGTTACTTGGAAAAAAAAAATTTACGGAAAAAAATAAATAAAATCTAGTTACAAAGGTAACATTTATCGTTTTTGTTTAGTTGAACTTGATGTACTAAACTAACTAAAACTGACATAAAAAATTTATCAAATTATATAAACAAATAAAAAATTAATAGATAAAAATGGCAAAAACACAACTAAACTACTCAAACGTATGAAAAAGGAAAATGCAAAAATAAAAACATTCACATGTATATAAAAACTATAAGAAAAAAACTAAAATACTAATGAAAACCTTAATAGAAAAAACTAAAATTTCAATGATACTAAAATAACACTGAAGCTAAATAATGTAATTTATAGTTTGCATCATTGCCTGAAAGACTTGTCAGCTAATTTTGCTTTAAAAAAAAAAAAAGACACACACACACACACACACACACACACACACACAAAGCAATGAAAATGTACCAGAAGGATTTCGATGCAGCCCAGGATGTACATGGCTCCTGCAAAAGTGGTGCCCAGATAGAAACATATACCAACAGCCCCTCCAAACTCTGGCCCCAGTGAACGAGAGATCATGTAGTATGAACCTCCAGCTGTAAGTGCACAAACAAATTTACCATTAGGCATATACATAGTAGAGCATTTCATGCCTTCATCATATTTTTCTTTTCTTGAAATGTCCTTTTGACACAAGAGGCACATCTACAGGTTACAGTTATTCCAAATAAACCTAGAGACAGACATGCATTCACACAGTTATGAATGCGGAGCTGATCTCAGCACAGTAGGGAGCTGTACTGTGCACTGTGTAACTGCCCATGAAGAACAACAGGACGGCTGTCGTTTGCTGGGCGTCTGCACACAAACACAAACACGAATTCTGCTCACCTGGCACAACCCCATTGGTGGCAATAGCACTCATTGAGATAGCAGTCAGCAAAGTCTGGAAATAGAGTAAATAAAGATCAATACAGAGGGGACAGTGAGTGACAGAGACGAGAGGCCCCCACTAAGTCCTCCAGTCACTCGTGCAAGAAAAATGTATTTATTAGAAAAGAAACATTGAGTACATTAAGACATTGTGTGGTTGAGGGGGGTTTACAGCCGTATAGCTGACTCATTAATCTTAAGGGAATGGGGGGATAATAATTTTGTCCCAGGCCCCTTGACTTTAAGTGAAGGCCCTGCATGAAACCATGCATTCTGTAATTATATTGTACCATTATTGTGTAATTTTTTGTTTGTTGGTAAAATATTTTGGCAATACTTAACAACAAGGGTTCATTTGTTAACATTAACATTAAATTCTGTATTTACATTAATTTTATAATTTAATAATACATTTTTTGATTTTAAACAGCAAATCAGCATATTAGAATGATTTCTGGAGGATCATGTGACACTGAAGACTGAAGTAATGATGCTGAAAATTTAGCTTTGCATCACATGAATAAATTACATATTAAAATATTTTAGAATATAACATTTTTTTTTTGTAATATTTTTTCGCAGTATTTTTTATACATTGCTTATTGTTAAAGGAAAATGCATTGACTAATGCTAACAAATAAGACCTTATTGTAAAATGTTGCCAATATTTTCATAATAAATTATTACATACGATATTACATACAATGCCCATACATTGCATGTTAACACTGTCTCAGAAACCTGTTTGGTAACAGTTTTTTTTTAAACAAATGTTATTATCATGTCTTCATATTTTATTTTATGCTTTTTTAAAAGTAGTCTCTTATGCTCAACAACAACAAAAAAGTAATACTGCTAAAAAATATTACAATAAAAATTAAATTTTATATTCTAAAATATTTTAATATGTAATTTATTCATGTGATGCAAAGCTAAATTTTCAGCATCATTACTTCAGTCTTCAGTGTCACATGATCCTCCAGAAATCATTCTAATATGCTGATTTGCTGTTTAAGAAACCTTTCTGATTATTATCAATGTTGAAAACAACTGCGGTGCTTATTATTTCTGCGAAAACTGTGATACTTTTTTTAATATCAGGATTATTTCTAAAGAACAGCAATATACAGTAAATCTAATATTATAAATAACTTTACTGTCACTTTTGATCAATTTAAGTAATCTTTGATAAATTTATTTCAAATTTTTGAATGGCAGCATACCTTATCTTACATACATACATTTTTACACTCATGTAACTTGTATGATATTTGATGTACTCAAACTCTAAATCATGAAGCTAGACTATTATTTATTTGTAAGTATTCATATACTGCCAGAACAGCCAAACATTGCGAAACATACCTTGTGACAATGACTAGTGAGTGTGGCTTTGCAGAATTATTCTGTGTGTGTGTGTATTTCCTGGGGTTTGGCAGGGTCAGAAGGGCATGATAGGGGAGTAGGGGCCTATGATTTTCATAATGCTGAAAACATGAATAGAATCACGGAATCCAGTCAAAAAGTGGTATAACTTGGAATTTGGCAAATTTTGAATGAAAAAAATAAGAAAAAATAGGGCTGCACATTTAATCAAATCATTATATGGACTAGTGTATGTGAATATTAAAATGCAAAAAGACTGCTATTTAAATATGAACATGTTCTGTTTGTCTCTGTGTGAATGCACGGTGCAGTTTCGTCTACTATACACCAGCATGCATGACGGTCATGCTGTTTTCAGTATCTGCAGTCGCATTACATGAGGAAATGAACACATGAACTTCATCTCCAGAGCTGCTCTAAGGGTCACTTAGACAACATTTCACCATTTCATTTGATTAAAAAGTATCGTCAGATACACACAGAATCTTGAACAGAAAGGTCTTAACTACAACAAACAAAATATAAGTTTGGTTTAACTTGAAGAAATTGTGACCAAAAATATTTCTATTGTAAGTTCTATTATAAGTAGGATGCACTTCTCAAAAGAACAATAATAATAATAAAATTATTAAAAAATATATTTGGTAAGGTTTCACAAAATATCACAAATTTTTCTTCCATGTTTTAATTAATTACACCTATGTTATGCAGCGCTTTGTTTGCCAATACAGACAAATACAGATGAATTAAAACAGAAAACACATTTTCAAATAAAAAAATAAGTAAATAGAAAACATTTCATAGGGCCCCAGTATTGTAAAAAATATAACAAATTATTAAATTTTTAAAGTTTTATTAATTCAATTAATTAGCCATGCTTTTTGATTATTAAAACGGAATTAAACCATTAAAATGGAATCAATAAAAATGAAAACGGAACATGTAGAATTAGGGAAAAATTAAAACAGATTTCATGGGCCCTAAAAATAATTGGTTGTTTTATAAAAGTTTCATGATTATTTATTTAAACATGCTTTTTTATTATTAACACTTAATCTGATTATTAAAATTGACTCCATCAAAACAAAAACGGCAAATTAAAATGGTGAAAAAATAAAAAATAAATCCCCACAGTATCTAGGAAAAAATAAAGTGGATTTCATAGGGCCCTACGCATGTCACAAGAATCACCAGCAGCAGGAGCGACAAGTGCTAAACTGACAGCTCTGAAATCAAACACCTCATGTAAGCATTTGCATTTATGTTCTTGGCAGAAACTCCGTCTTACTCGCTCACAAACCAACTCACCAAAGTGACTTACAACAAAGTGATTGTATAACTCTAAGCAATCTCCAGTTAAAGGAGCAGAGGGGTAAAAGGAAACCCTAAGCTCTGGAGAGCGAGTCTCTGGGGCTCTTGCTGCATAATGGTAATAAAGAATTCTGCTTTCCAGGCCTGAACAGACCTTTCTGTCTGTGTAAAATACATTCAGATCTGAAGGATAGTGTGCCTATTTGTAGAGTGTTTGAGCTTGTGTGTCCAATCCACTGGCATACCGGACCCCCCCCTCTCCATGCCTCCTGTAGTGTATGTGTGTTTAAGACTGACCGTGGAGCAACACATGAAGACAATGGTGAAGGTTCCCAAGACGCCTCCAGCGCCCACCAACCAGGTCATTCTGAGGAACAGGATCACCCCCAGGATGTTCTGCAGACATGGCAGGTAAACGCCCATGATGGTGCCCATACGTGGAGCCTGTCAATCAACCAATCAATACTCAGGACACCATAGAACATAATGCTCAAAAAACAGAATCATTAAAAGGGCATTTTAGCTGCTTGTCAATCAACAGCCACCCAGTCAATGAGTAGCTGCCATCCATCAACACAGAAGACTGAGGATCATGAAAGAAGGGTCAGTAGTGATTTGGCAGTCTGCAGAGATAATGGAATAGTTCTTGTCACCTGCACGGTTTTCTTGCGCGCCTCCTCGTTGTTTTCTGCCTCCTCATGCTCTTTACTGCCCTGCGTCAGGTTGGAGTAGTTGGCGAGGCTGCTCAGCATAGAAGATACCATTGGACTGGTGTCCATCTCCTCCTACACAACACACACATACAAACAAACGTGTAAACATACTGCACATTCATCTCTAACTGTTTTAAATCATTAGCAACACTGGACTACCTCAAACAGGGCCATGTTTTTCCCATCATACTGCTGGCTTTTCTCTACGTCACTGGTGCTGCTGTTGATAAAGGGGCTGCTCTCTTTGGATGTCGCATCTCCTGTGAACATACATGAAATAAATTATGTTTTATTAGAATCTGAGCTATTTACAATCTATTTACAAAGGACGTAAATTGTGCCACTTTAGGACACTTAAAAAATATTTGTAATAAGTAATAATAAATAATAAGTTTTGGGTTAGCAAGATTATATTTTGAAAGAAATTATTACTTTTAGTCAGCAAGGATGCATTCAATTGGTCAAAAGTGACAATAAAGACACAGTATTTATAAAATTACAAAAGATACTTTTGACCTTTGTATTCATCAAAGAATCATGAAAAAGGATAAAAGAACTGTTTTAAAAGGGGTCATATGATGCGATTTCAATTTTTCCTTTCTCTTTGGAGTGTTACAAGCTCTTGGTGCATAAAGAAGATCTGTAAAGTTGCAAAGACTAAAGTCTCAAATCCAAAGAGATATTCTTTATAAAAGTTAAGAGTCAGCCACACCTACACGCCCCCACATATCTACGTCACTATGTGGGAAGATTTGCATAATGCCGCCCAAATGTTCACGCAAAGAAAGAAAGCGTAACTTTTATTCTCGCTGTAGTATGCCATGTCGTGAAGGCGCTGTGTGTTTCGTTGTGAAAGCAAAACTACTTTGTTTGGTCTTCCAAAAGAGGACAATATCCGCTTCATCATGCCTAGAGCTGATTATGTGGAAAATAATGTGTTTTTTAAACCTTAAACCACATAAACACATTTCATTACACCGAATACACAAAATAATATTCTTTTTAGCAACATCATATGACCCCTTTAACATTGATAATAAAAATAAATGTTTCTTGAACAGCATATCAGAATATTAGAATGATTTATGAAGGATCATGTGACACTAAAGACTGGAGTAATGATGCTGAAAATACAGCTTTTCATCACAGGAATAAATTACATTTTAAAATATATTAAAATAAAATAAACTGTTATTTTAAATTGTAATAATATTTCACAATATTAATGTTTTTACTGTAGCTATGCAGCCTTGGTGTGTATAAGAGAGCACATAATGAAAAAAAAAAAACATAACCCAATCTTTTGACCTGTATTGTACATCAGATAACTAAAAATAAATAAATAAATAAACTCACAAAATCCTGTTAGGTTTTAACATTTTATAAAAAAATATATTATTTGTATTTATACAATTTTATTATGCATTAAATTCATGAAAATCAACATCAAATAAAAACAATAATCCATTTGCAATTTGTCAGACATTGGTCCCACTGGATTTGATTACATGTAAGATCAACTTCATCGCATTAGCATGTAATACTTCAGAACAATTTTGTAGCAGTATCATCAGATATACATCACAAGCATGTTTGGTTCAAAATGCTCTGTTTTCGCAAGACAGCTTTGTCTTACAATATTTGCAGATCATCTTTTCACATCTAACTACAAGTGCTGTGTACAGTACAATAACTCCAATTTCCTGTCCATCTAATAGAAAAGAACAGGAAGGGGGTGGATAAATGCAACTGTAAAGTAAAAACAGCAGCGCATCAACATGGAGCACTCCTTGTGTATCAGTGTGTGTGTGTGTGGGTGAGGAATTCCAGGATTTCTACATACTCTTCCATAGCAACAACCTGGTTCTGAGCCTATTTTTACACTATCGCTTTTAGCCGCATATCCTTTATCAGAAGAACCTTTGATCACTTAATTCTGAAGCAGTGCAATCTCACAGGTTCAGAATGATGCTGTTGTGTCCTATGAACGTCATGGTTTTTAATTGTGTGTATTTCTAAATTGTAGTGCGTATTGTAATTTCTTTAGTATGCTGTCACCTTCACTGCCTTAAGTAGATATACATGATTATATGTGGGAGCATGCTCATTAAATGGCCAAGGGAATCCTGCCTCTTCGCTTGCCCGGTTTAATCTGATGTATTAGTTTAATTAATCATGTTTCCTGGCAAAGCGTTGTACATTTCAATTTTCACAGCATTTGCCTGCTTATTGACCTGCGACCTGATGACCTTTAAATACACAATTCATCACCTTGTAATTTAATCTGTCAACGCTGAATCAATACGCCGCAAAGCCTACGGTAGTTTAAAAAACAAGGACACAAAAAAATAATGTTTAGTTTATTGATAGTTTATTTAAAAAAAAAATCTTTTAGCTTTTTCAAACCAAGCACAATTGAGCTGAATGCTTTTATTGCCTTTGAGGCTAGAAACATTTGTTAAATTCAACCTTAAAATAATGCATAACAAAGCGCTATTGCATATGATCAAAGAAGAAAAGTTGAGATGGTCAATGACCACATACTTTTATTTTTAAAATGTATTTGAATAATTATATGTGTTATATTTGTAACAGAATAATTTCATGATTATTTATATAGAACTTCATATGTATTCATTGATAATCAAATTAATTACATTTCATGAGATCAACTATGACTTTATATTCTCATGATTGTCAATTGTGCTAAACATAAAATCATATATATATATTATTTTTTTTACAATTTATTTAATTTCTATTTATTGACAGCTAGGTTTCTGTTTTAAGGTTTACACATTGAACATTATGCAAAATTAGTTGTAAAGCAATATTATATTTTCAGACATTTTCAGATTGTACTTTAATGATTTAAAGCCAAGTATTTCATTTAGGCATCTTTGGTCTCACATAGTTTGAAAACTCATGAATCATCCTGGTTTAGCACTTGGTTCCTACTGTATGTGTTTCTTTTCTCTCTAATAATCTTTGCAAAAACTCCTACTTCTGGCTCTCTTGACACACACCATCCCACAACCCCAGCAGACTCACAATGTAATAAGCAATAATGAGAAAAAGATTGGGATACAGATTGAGCTAGATCCTAATCTCTGACATCTTGCATGCTGTGTGGTGAAATTTATAACAGAAGCATTTGGTTTATTGTTACAACCCCAGAAGGGACTTGGAGCATCTCTAGACTTATAATAAGGCATCATACAGATATCAAAGCTTGCTAGAAGAGGGGGTCTGCTGATTCTGCCCTGCTGTCCATTTCATGTCTCTGGTTCTGCGATGCTGCAGAGGCAAGAGCAGATAGCTGATGCTTGTAGTTTTCTCAGAGCTATTCTTTCCACCACTTTTTCTACACTGTCTTTGCACTATTAGAAACATACACATACAGTACACACACACACACACACACACACACACACACACACAC